GGAGAAATATCTATTTAAGTCCTATACCTGTTTTAATTGGGTATTTCCCTTGTGCTGTTGAATTGTAGGAGTTCCTTATATATTTCACATATTAACTTCTTATAAAACATATGATTAGCAAATGTTTTCTTCCATTTCATAGGTTGCCTTTTCACTCTGTTGATTGTTTCTTTTGCTGTGCAACTTTTCAGTTCGATACAGTTCCACTGATCTATTTTCACTTTTATTGTTCGTGTTTTTGTCGCCATGTTCAGGAAATAATGGACAAAACCAGTCAGGAGGATTTTCCCCTATATTCTCTTTTACCGTTAATGACCCTAAATTTAATTTTTAATATATTTTGAGTTGACTTTTGTGTATCATGTCAGAAGCGGGTCTGACTTCATTCTTTTGCATGTGGATATCCAGTTTTCCTAATAGGATTTGTTGAAGAGACTATCCTTTTTCCCATTATGTATTCTTGGTACACTTGTTAAAGGTTAGATGTCTGTATATGTGTGAGTTATGTCTGGGCTTTCTATTCTGCCCAAAGGTCTATGTGTCTGTTTATATGCCAGTACAATACTATTTTATTTATTGTGATTTTGTAATATATTTTGAAATCAGGAAGAGTGATGCCTCCAGCATTTTCCTTTTTAATTTATTGTTTACTTTAGCTGTTTTGATCCTTTGTATGTTTACAAAAATTTTAGTTTTCTATTCTATTTTAATTGACATTGCATTAAATCATTACATATATTTGAGTAGAATGAATATTTTAACAACAATAAGTTTTCTAATCCATGAACATGGGATGTGAAGCATAAAGTTAACAGAAAGATGGGAATAATAAATGTTAGAACAGAAATAAATAATATAAAAAACAATAGAATAAATCAATAAAAACTCAGGTTTTTAAAAAATGTACACATAATTGGCCAAATAATAGGTGGACCAAGAAAAAAGGAGACTCAAATATAATCAGAAATGAAAGAGGAAACATTGCATCTAACCTACCGATGCCTTAGAAATTAAGAAGGACCAAAATTGACTACCATGAACAATTGCATGCCTACAAATTGGATGACTTACAAGAAATAAGTAAATATTTAGAAATATATAACCTACAATGACTGAATGATGAAGAAATAGAAACTCTGAACAGATCAAAAACTAATAACAAGATTGAATCAGTAATCAAAAACCTCCCAAGAAAGAAAATGCGGGACAAGACGGTTTCACTTGTGAATTTTACCAAACATATAAAAAGTACAAACACTAATATTTCTAAAAACATTCCAAACATTAAAGAAGTGAGAACACTTTGAGACTCATTTTATGGAACTGGCTTTATGTTGATAACAAAGACAGGCAAAGATACTACAAGAAAAGGAAACCACAGGCGAATATCTTCAATGAACAGATTCCTATTGCTTTTCTATCTGTAGTTCCTTAGTTGTATCGTGTCTGAGACACCATCAGCTCTTTTGCCCTTGATTTCCCTATGTGCTATATGAGGTCCTCTGCAATGAAATGAGCTTTTCTCTGAAAACACATTGAAAGGTTGTTGCATGATTCCCTCTTCCTCACATGCAAGACACAACCATAACCTCGGACGCACCATGACGGTGGTGAAATACAAGTAGAAAGGAACATGGGCCCTTGCATTACTACATGTAGCAGAGATGCCCAATGTTTAGGAATGCATTTTAGACTTTGCACTAGTGAGAAATAAGCTTTTATTCTTTAAAAAACATGCTAGATAGATTGCCAAAATTAATGAATACATCATCTTCTCCATAAAGTGGCATTTTCCATAAACTGGTTTATTTTTAGAAACATATAACCCAGTTTTTTTCAGATCCAATAGTCAACATAAACATCTGAAGATCATTTAGCCATATTTTAAAAAGGCCAACACAAATTGTTTTCTATTAAATAAAAACAATGGTGTGGCTACCAAATGAAGTTTATATTGCTAACAAATGATAAATAAATGATGTAGCATTATTTAGGCAGCTCTGTATTTGGACATATAATAACATAAATGTACCTTCATAAAAAGAGAAAATAAATTCCTCATGAGGTAATAATATCCATGTCTAGACTATTGCTTTACAGCTGATTTTTTCCTTTCATATTTCTGTATTTTATACCTATATAAAGTCAAAATTCAGTATTAAGATTAATTAAGTGAAGTTGGTAAGACAAATGTCAAGGGCTTTAGAAGAGCACTATACAAACAAGATACACATGGGACAGTGTTATATCTAATTGCACAAACTGTAGCCTCCAAGGCAATACTTCAGTGATATTCTCTAGTCTTGAGGTCCCCAATGTCTTGGGGGCATATATTTGTGACACAGTTTGGTGCTAGGACTTAGTTTCTAGATGTGATCTTATCTCTGCTATCTATGAGTTTTCTTAATAGGTTGGGGAAAAAGGTAACATTTAAAATCTTCAAGAAAATATACTCGCGACACTCCTACTGTTGTTTTCAGGTTTGTTTCTATTAATTAAATACTAAGCGGGAGCATTATTGGAGTTCATTAATTTCAGCAAAAGATCCTTCAGTAAATGAATCACTCAAATGCCTCTGTATTTAGGTGAGTTGATTTAGATATTTAAATTTTATTTTAGAAGAAAAATACTAAGTTCTGGTAATCTTAGTATGAGACAAACACACGTGTAGGTCAAAGTCCTACCCGGTCCACTTAGTTCAACGAGCAGAGGACTTTTGTTGTTATATCCCAATACCTTCTCTCTTTCAAATGATATAAATTCTGGTTTTCTCATCAGGCTCCCACCATATACCCAGCAATGAAATCAATACTTTGGCAAATAAAGAAGAATAAAACAAAATTGGCCTTATCTTTAAACTTCCTATACTTTCTGAGGAGATAAGTGAGACTAATAACCAAATATGTAAATGATAGGATATGACTTATGGTAATTTTGAGTTATAAACACTAATGTTTGCAATGTATACAGAGGAGAAGAAACAATGAGTAATCTTTATAACAGTAGAAGGTAAAATAAAGCATTATAAAGGTGACAACAGATAGCACACTTTATGTAAATGAGCATGTGCTCTATGACAACCTGATGCATCTACCATGACTTTAAGAATGTGTTCGTGGTAATGAGATTGAATATCTAGATCTAAGCAGTTTGCGCAAATCCAGACTGCACAATGTAGTTTTCATGCATTCATCAATAAAAAGCATTAGGGATTGTTAAAGTCATTGACTCTCAGGTTAAATTGATTACAGAAAATTATTCTTGCAATGTTGCAAAGGATTTTTCACATTGAGGAGCGTGACTGTGGAATACAGTCATAATCTAGTTTTATAGTGTTAAGATTTTTATAAATAAGTGTTTCAGGGAAATTGCTGAGTAATTGTTCCTTTTGGAAGATATCGTTCCTACAGGTACAAGCTTGTGGGAACTAGAGAAAGCTATTTTGTAATGGAAAAACATAAAGGAGAATTGGGAATATATAGTTATGACTTAGAGTAAAGCCACAAATGAAATTCTACAGTACTTCCATTGTGTGGGTTCAGGAAAATGATTCTCTGCATTGTATTCACAAATGTGTCCACATGTTGATAGCTGTGCTATATAAGCCTCATTTCAATAACTATTCAAGGTTTTTGAAACAACACTAATTAGCTATAATTCTAAGAAATATAAAACTGAATATCTAATACGCTTCATAGCATGTCTTGTAACCATTACAATCATTAGCAATCTTTCTGCTTCCATTCTACTGATTTAAATTTCATATCATGAATATATTATCACATTTTATCATTGAGGAAATGCCTAGTGGCACCAAGGCATGTTCATTGAATATTAAGATGTCCTATTTGAGATGGGTCCCCCTGACACTTATCCTTGGCAAAGCTTTAAATTTAAATCAAAGGGACAGAATGTATTTTTCCTAAAAACTAATATTTATTTGCACTATTCAGTACTTTTATGTTTATTATTGTCTGTCACCTACCTATCTTCTGAGATTTGCCACCTCAGAAAATAACTTTTCGTTTACTATTCAACTATTTTGTTGCAATAACCTTCTCATAAGTGATATGATACATCATTAAAAATAACATTAAAAATTTTTCAAGTTTAGTTCAACATGCATGAGAAAGATTAGCATATTAGTGCAACACAGCTCCAGAATATGTTGAAAGTATTGGATTACAAGGAATGAGAAGGGTGTTAAAAATAAAGCCACCAATAAAATGTTAAATTTACCGTTTTACAGGAATGTTAACATTTTACAATTTGTTAAGAGTTGTAAGTTAACTGTCTCATAGCTTTAGAGACAGGAATGAAACTGTAGAAAATTATATATTTCCTCCAACAGAAATATTTTCACTTATCTCAGATTCATGCAAACTTAGAGTGGCCCTTCTCATGAAGCCTGATGTCTATGATGATAGTGAGTCTTATCTGAAATATGGGAAGGTACACCCTATTTTGTTGTTATTCCTGTCTTAATTTTGTTTTTTATTATTCCAGTCACAAAATAGTCCTATTCACCTTGTAATCTTTATATAAGATATAAGTACTCTACCTTTTGAAATAATGTAACAGTGGAAACCTAGTATTTTCAGCAACTCTTAATAAAGACCCACTAAGTGTCTCAATATTTCTTCCTTTCTGTTTCTTATTGCACATATTGGTGCCTACTTCTCTGGATCAACTTTCTTATTTT